TGCGCCCTAAGCTAGCCTCAACCTCTTTCACGAACTTTACCTAGCCTTAAATACCACCTGTGCACCCCCTGTCAGACCATTGAGCAACGGGGGAGCTTTGTCATCCAGGCAGGACTCGTCATGCATGCATGTGAGGGTTTTAAGTTTAACCTGTCATTCATCATGGCCGCTGCTCAAGTGGCACACGTCATGGCCGCTGCTCAAGTGGCGCACGGCATGTCACGACACAGCCACTGATCAAGTGGTGCACACATGGCCGCTGCTCAAGTGGCACATGACATGACATGCATGCCTGCCTCATGAACAATTATAGGAATAAGGACAGCAAGCATAAAATAGGCGCCACAATGGATAGTAACACAAGCACGACAGTGGCAGTAGATATAAGCAGCACAACAAGAACAGAGAGACACACCTAAGGAAAACAACAACATCATAGTGACAGTGCAAAGAAACAGAAACAATCAAGCAACCAGCAACTCCCTGTTGTTCATGATGATGTTGATGCTCTTGTTGTGACACCTGCTGTTATTATTGTTGTTCGTAATGTTAATCCTCTTTCCACACTGCTATGGTTGGTTGTCAATCTTGTGAATGCTGTTGATGTTGCTGCTGTTGCTGTTGCTGCTGCCAACTGTTACTGTTATTGCTGTTGTTCTTGTGATTGCCATTGTTACTGCAGTTGCTACTGTTAATCTTGTTGTTATTGTAACTGTCGTTGCGCTATTGTCAGTAATATTTGTTTATGGTGGTTGATATTCGTGTTCTTAATGTTGTAGTGGTTCTTATCGTTAGGGTATCGGTGCTGTTGTTATTGATGTTGCTACTGCAGTTGTTGCTGGTTGTGTTGTCAATGTGGTTATGGTTGCTGTTGATGTTGGTGCTGTTGTTGGTGGTGTTGGTGTTGTTATTGTGGTTGTTGTTTGATGATGTTGTGTGGCCGGTCTTGTTGTTGTTGTGGTGGTTTGCTTGGCGTGTCAGGGCTCGGCACAGCAGAAGGGGCCAGCATCGCCGGCCGCCGATGGTGATCACAGCCTCAGAGCAGGCAGTATTGCCCGAGGAAAAGCGTTCCTTTGTGTTTGCTACATGAAATGAATAATTTAAAGCCAGAAGCACTCTGCACACACACGTAAACATGTGCGTGCACGCTGTTTCTTTGCTTAATATTGTGTGTAGCAAACCACAAAGTCACACATGTGGTCGCGCGCGCGCTTTACCGTGCGCGCGCGCATGCATCTTTGTGTTTTGCTATATAGAATTACTAAAAGCAAACAAACACGCGCGAACGCGCGCGCGCTCCTTTCACGCGCGCGCGCGCCTTTCACGCGCGCGCGCGCATCTTGTGTTTTGCTATATACAATTAATAAGCAAACAAACACACGCGCGCGCGCACACACCTGACACGCGCGCGCGCACAGTAATTAAGCGCGCGCGTGTGTGTTTGTTTGCTTAGTAATTGTATATAGCAAAACACAAGGATGCGCACACGCGCGCGCGCGCGCGCGCGCGAGTGAAAGGAGCGCGCGCGCGCGCATGAAAGGAGCGCGCGCGCGCTTGCGCGCGCATGTGTGACTTTATGTGGTTTGCTACACACAATACTAAGCAAAGAAACAGCGCGCACACACATCTTTACGTGTGCATTCTGTCTGTGCCACAGGAACCTCTTTGCCACATCATCAATGCTCGGCGATTCAATCAATCACTCAGTCAGAGGACTCAGACATCCGCCGGTACTCCGGGACTCTGAGACTCAGAGAGTCAGGAGTCAAAACATCACAGCAGCAGCGGCAGCGATGCCGGGTGTCACAGGTGTGTCCGTACTCTGATGTAAAAAAAGTCCAGGGGCTTAGCCTTTCCCGGAGTAGAATCACCTGGCACCCGCAATGCCAGTTGTCATAGGTCTGTAAATGACTCGAGCGCCCAAGTCCAATACTTCGTTCGTACCGAAATCCATTACCTGTCGGCCTGGGAAGACCATGAATCTCAAAGGTGCTGATAGCAAACTGTGGAAACTTCGCTTAGCAAAACAAAGCCTTCTCGATTCAGCCTCGGCACTGTCCCGGAGCAAAGTGTCGTAGCCACGCTGCTCTAAATCCTCAATTGTTTAGGGAAATCATGTGCCTTTGGCAAACTTCAACCTCATCATGTCTGTCTCTCTTCTGTAACTCTGTCCTCAAGGTCCCGCGCACGCCGCAACCGCCTGATCCAAGGCGGGGTCTGTGTGGTCTTCTCGTTCTCCTTGGGCTCGCTTTCAATGCTGCTGGGCCAGGTGCTGCTGATGCTGCTGCCTTTGCTTTCTTCGGAGTCAGCCTGACTGCTGTGATCGTCGTCCTTAACATCGGCCTTGGAATTCCGATCCCGGGGCTCCCAACCACTCCGGCCGCTCGTGCCACTTTTCCCACTCGGCCCACTGCGACTGGCACCTCCTTGTTCTGCTCCTGCTGTCTTGGGATTCCGCTTTCTTGGTTTCCCTGGCTCTTTGGCTTTCGCCTTCATCCTCGGTGATGCCGGAGCCTTCTTCCCCATCATCCTCTGTGATGCCGGAGCCTTCTTCCCCATCACAGGAACCGGACTCAGAGACTCTGGGAATCTGAGACTCTGGGACTCGGCACAATAAAGTGGCAAGTAAGCCCAGATGCTGCCAGAGAACTCATCCTGTGTTATGGCAGTGCCGCAAAGTCACCGGCCATGCCGGCACACACCATGCTGCACACATGCATTCAAATAGCCTGGAAGCTTTAATTAGTAAATTAGGACTTGGACTGAGGTCTGGGCCACCGAAGGCCCAGTGATGCCCACACACCCGCCTTAGCTGTGTCGGACAGGGTCTCAAACTTGGGCTTGTTATGAGGAGATTTGGGGTTAGGCTGTCAAGCAGTCAGGCTTTTATTTCGAGGCCTTGGTCACAGATGTGCACCACTCCTGTATGTGATGTGTAACTTACTATTTGGCTAGACGTGATCATGCTTTTTATAATTGCTAGATGACATCACAGACAGTGTGGTGGTCACATCTTTGAAGTTACTTTCTTACGTCTTTACACCCACAACTTTGCTAAACTGAAACTAGATAATTACAGAAGCCTGACTACTTAGTACTACTTGGCAGCCTGATCTCTAAAATCAACAGAGGTCCAGCCCTGTTTGAGGCACCTTCAAACAAAAGCATTATATTTACCACTGAAGTTAATCTGTGGAACAACTGCTTCTCAGGCCTGAAAGAAAGACATGACACCTTTCAACCGTCAATGTTTAACTTCGGCTCTGACATCCCCGAGCTTGAACTTTTAAGAGTCTTCTAAACTGTCAACTTCGATGATGTGGACTCTCGATGACAACGATCCGCAAAGGCCTAGGAGCGATGAGGAGTGGTTGCTTAAATTGTGGCTCAGACAGGCAGGCGCTGCAACACGAACAACAAATTGTGTTTTACAGCGACCGGAAAGGTTCTGGGTTCATCCAGCTTGGAGCTTTTGTCCTGGCTGGTCTGCCTGTCTTCACAGAATTCTGCCTGCTGCACGTCGGGTTCAACCAGGACTGTGGAGCTGAGACTCTGTGACTCTGAGTCCTGGTTCTCTTTCCACCGGAGTCTGGGTCTGAGACTCTGTGACTCTGAGTCCTGGTTCTCTTTCCACCGGAGTCGGGGTCTGAGACTCTGTGTCGGTGACTCTGAGCGGCCACCGGCGATCGCGCAACTGTGGGAGTCAACCAACTCGTCGAGGCTTGTGATCTTGATGGCAATGATGGCTGCCCAGCCCCTGAAGCTGGCCTCGGGCTGCTGCTGTGGGCTCGCCAAGAGTTCACAATGCATTTGGCCATGGCTGCAGGGTAGGATCCAGACTTTTTCAGAAGAGCAGGGCGACCCGTGACTTTCGTCTTGCCGTTCGTGTCCACCCATCGAATGTAAGTCTTCACATGTCCAGCTGCGCCACATGGGCAAGACTTGGCCACCTTTGCAATCCAGGAATGGCTGCAAACCAGCTTGAACTGCTTCTTAATTCTCTTCCCCACTTTTGTGTCTGTTTCATAACCACATCGATTCACGATGACAGAATACATGCTGTGCTTCTGCATGAAAGACTCCACAGGGGGGTAGTTGAACATATAACTGCCCACAGGGTTCTCCATGACCACATGTACCCCGCGAAGAAGAGCCAATTCCATGAGAACCAGCGTTGCATCGACCATGAGATTTCCCTCAGCAACACTGGGGGCCGATGTGTTCCCCACATAAGAATTGTCTGCACGACGCTTCGTTGTTGACGCACAAAGGAAGTTCCAAGAAGAACACACGGGTGCGAAGACTGCCAAGCCTCCCTTGCGAACCCGCATAATAGTTTTTACCGCATTGTGGAAGCCTGCCGGAACGACGATGTCTTCTGATTTTTCCCACGAAGATGTGTCAGTTTTCCCACGTTGACGAAATTTGTCAAAGGCCACACTTGCGAGACCCGCCTGCTTGGCTGCCTTTGCGATGCTGCCTACACCTGCAAAGATTTCCGCAACATCGATGTCACGTGGCAAATCTGCCAAAGACTCGTCTTCCAGGATAGACATAGCGGTCATTCCAAAAACCTCTGGCTCCATGGCACAGAATCTGGGACTCAGAATCAGGGACTCTGAGTCTGAACAAGCCGAAAGGCTGTTTATCGGTGAATAGCAACCGATGGAAGCAGTGCCGGGCTTTCACCAAGCGCTTGCAAGCACAAGGCAACACTTGCTTTTAGTCCCAAGCGAGACACGCTCGAATCAGGAACTCAGAATCGGTGACTCTGTGACTCTGAGACTTCCGAACTCAGAAACAGTGAGACAGAAACTAGATAGAAGTCCGGACTTCCAAATCACAAAGTCACTTCGAACACTCACCGTCATCTGCCGAAGCGGACCATCATTCGCCAGGAGATATCGGGCAATGTTGAATAGTACGGGTTGTCCTAAGGACCACTCAACAAAAGTCCTGATGTGAAAGAACGAACACCTGTCAACTGTGGCAACTCAGGCTCAGGCTGCTTCAACGATTGGGTCATCCCGTGGAGCCTCCAACGCCTCCAAGTACCCGTCCTGTGATGGTTCTCGGTTCCTTCCGTCAGCGAGATCTCGGAGTTCTTGGGCCGACCGGAACATGGAGTGTTCAGCTTTCCATGTGCCTGTGAGTTCCTCCAGTGCGTCTGCCAGCTGCCGCAGTTCCTTTGTCCTCTGCTGTCTCATTGGGTGGCTGGCCCGACAAGCTTCTGTTGGGGCTGCGGTGCTGATTCTGTCGAAGCGTGCGTCCGGGATAAGCAAGGTAGGAGGCCCGTTTGGACCGTGGCTTTGCATCCAAGTCTTCACAACACAAAAGACATCGAGAGGATTAGAAGGCCAACCTCTGTCAGTGGGATGCTGCAGCAATAGCTGCTGCTCACGGGGTGCCAAATCCATGCGGAGCTTGAAGGTGAAGGAATGGGGTGCCAGGATGCCTTCACGTCGTTTATAGCAGTTGTGAGGATGGACACACATAGCCCCGAGCCATGACTGGAAATTCCTGACATGTGTGAGGATCTCCACATTCACATCATAGCCCTTGGGTGCCAGGACGGGTGTCATGCCTGTGAGGATGCCCGTCCTGAGGTCTTCTGGCACCATGACCTTGCATCGTCTCAGAACCTTGGCCAAAAGGATGCTGAAGACAAAGTCCACGTCTTCGAGCGTGTGGCCTACACGCAAAAAGTTCAGGACACAGGACTGAAACTTGAACTTCCGCACAAGCACCCCGAGGAAGTTCGCGACCTCTGCATTCTTGGCCTGTGCTGTAGTGTTATCACTTTGGATAACGAGATGATCAGGCATGGATCTTCCTTGCTGCCTGCAAGCTTCCTGTACACGGGCCAAAGTCCTCGTGAGAATCTCGCAAAAGAAAGAGGCACCGTGAAAGAAGTTCTCGTCATCAGCGAGATAGAAATCAGCACAAAATCCATGGGCCAATGCCAGGTGAATGGTCAAACGGGGTCTGTGGAACTTCTCCAGGTTCTTCGGCTTCCGGAACGGAAGTTGTGGCCAGCTACACTCTTGTCCATGCCATCCAGGATTATGCAGAGAATGTTTGATCCAGGCACCTTGCTGTACCACCTCAAGTGCCAGTATATGACACGGTCGACATATTGTGCTTTGAGGTGATCCTGCCAAGCCTTCGCCGCCGCTTTCTTTTCTGCAACAGAAGCATCGCCGAAGTGAAGTAGGTTGGAAAACTTGCTGCAATCGTTGCACTGAGCATGTTGTGTCGGCTTGCGCAAGCCAATGCAGTGGCACCATCCTGAGCGACACGAAACATAGTCCCTCTGCAAATGACAATAACCTTCTTAACCAAGGCACTCTTGCTCCACCGCTGCCAGAATGTGCTCCAACAGGCCGCTCTGGACTCTGAGTCTGCACTCTGGGACTCTGGGACTCTGACTAGGCGCCATGCCAAGTAAAGCCACCAAATATCGATTGGCTTTTTGTGCTGCACATACCGCTTGGGCAAGTGTGCATCAGCGGCTGATGCAATGGCTGTGTGTAGCCAAGACTTCTCAGGGTCCCATCCCAACATTGGTGCCAGATCTTCATCATCCCGGCCCAGATCCGGTGCTTGGGATTCTTGCAACTCTTCCTGCTGCACAGTCCAATCAACATTCTCCATATGGCATGTGTCATCCTCTGGGAGAAACTCTGCTGCAGAATGGTACATCTCCAAGAAGAACTGATCCACCGACATACCAGCTTCAGTCACCATCCGTCCGTTAGTGACACGGCCATCGAAGCAATGGCCCTTGCAAAGCTTGCCAAGTGTGCTGGCCGATATCTCGAGTAAAGCAAACAGCTGTCTCTCACAACACCGTTTTTCAAGGAAGATCCGCTTGCAGCGAGTGTTGCCAGCTTTGGCATCTCCATAAGACCTGTTCAGGAATGCAGCCCGCCTTGCTGAGCCCATGCCATCAAAAACTCGACGGAAAGCCAAAACATCCTCGAGCTTCAAGCCAGGCTCACACACACTGCAGTGACCCGATCGGCACCGACCAAAGGAGCATGGGCTATCAAGAAGCTCTTTGAGACGGGATTTGTTGCAGTCTGTTCTGTCGGAGGCTGAGAGGTCTTGATCACCAGCAGCCAAAAGTGCTGAAGCAATGGTGAGATGAACCTCCGGCATGGCTGCGTTATCTTCTGTTGCCTTGCAGTTGGCTGGAGTAAAGCTGCGATCCGGGCACGGTGTGGTCCAGTTTGGTCTGTCAGGCCGTTCTGTCCGAAGCTGAGAACTCTGGGATGCAGATGTCCAGGGGTTCATGTGCTCTCTGGGAGTCTGTGCTTTGGGACTTTGCGCTCTGCGACTCTGTAACGCGACCCTCTTCCTGGGGGGCGAAGACGACCCAGAGCCAGTGTGAGAGGGTGTCAGCCAACTTGGTCGGTGCACAGATCCCTCAGCGCCCGATCCCGCAGGAGACATGTTCAGCCATGAGTAGTCCCTACTTGCCCGCCGACTTTCAGAGCCCCCAGGCGCTGGTTCAAGCCAGCTGGGCCTCATGACTGCTGCCCTGCTGGAGCCACAAAGGTTGTGGAATAGGATTCAACACATGATCACATGATCACAGCAACAAATAGTCTCCGAAGCATATCATGTATGTTATATGTGCAGTGAGCTAAGAAGACGTCATTCTCTTTGTCAACACCCCCAGACAATGTGCGACTCAAGGACTATCGGAACTCGGCACCAGAGACTTTGAAAGGGCTAACTGGACTCTGCTCCGTGCCTTGGCAAAGCAAAAGCGGCCGCATTCCTCAGAATTCGACCTCAGTGTCGCCTCATGGGTTGCTGACACTGAAAACCTGTGAAGAACTGGCTTCTTCTTTGAAACCCACGGACAAATCTCAGAGACTCAGAGTCGAGGACTCTGTGACTTAGGGACTCGGTGACTCGGCCCTGCAAGACCCACACATCTCAGGCTTTGCTCTTGTCAATGTTCTTGCTGAGCTTCTCCTTCCAAAGCCGTGCTGCCTCTTTGATCTGCTCTCTCACCTCGTCCTGTGTCATCTTCTTGCCCTGCTTCTGCTTCTTCACCTTGTCCATGTGGTCCTTGACGTGCTTGCAGTAGCTATCCTGGCTCCCTGTGGCACCGCTGTGGATCGACTTGCCCGGGAACTTCTTCTGCAGCTCTTCACGTGTCTCGTAGAAGAGCTTCTTCTTGAGATTGAACACCTCCGCAGCATCGTTGCCGTTAGGAACTTTGCGCCCTCCAAAGGTGAGGGGTTCCGACGTCGACTCGTCCGGCGTCAGCTTAGCCGGCTTATTGCCAGCCGACTTCTGACCTTTGCCGAGGTTGCCCTTCTTAGCATCGCTGGTATTCTCATCAGTAGCAGCCTGCTTCTCGTCCTCGGCGACAGGGTTGTCCTCGCCATCATTTCCATTGGATGCTGCAGTGGAACTGGGCTGCTGAGGCTTCGGAGGTGTCGTAGGAGGCTGCTTCTTGAGAGCAGCCTGGCTTTGCCCGGCAGCAGTCTTAGCTTTGTCCACTTGGTGGGTGGCAAACGAAGCCAGCTTTATGGAGGCTTCGGCAGCTTGAGCGGCTTTTTGGGCAGCTACTGAGGCTGCGATGGCTTGCCTGTTGAGCAACATCTGCTGCTGCTGCTGAAAATTCTTCTCCGTCGGCTTCTTGGGTGTTGTCTTGTCTGCCTTCAACTCCTCACGCCCAGGGGTTGGCTGCGTCCAGTCTTTCCACGCGCTCGCAGCGACTCTCTGCTTCTTTTCAGCTATGCTCTCCTGGGTCTGAAGTCCTCTCTTCGGAGATCTTGACCACACCGGCAGTGAGGGCTTCTCGTCAAGAACAGCGGGCTGCTGCTTCTGCTGGCAAGCATCATACCAGTCATCAGAGCCGACCGAGTCGTTCTGCGTCAACGCACGAGGGGCCATGATCGGTGACTCTGAGTCTGTGACTGTGTGACTCTGTGACTCTGAGTCCGGGGTCGTGAACCCTTGGCCGCGATTCTAAGAGATAGTGTCAGAAGGCAGGCAGGTGCCAGAAAAGACATCAGGAATGATCAAGATGCCAGCAACATGCATGCATGTACTGGAGCAAATGACAGGCACTTGCACAGCTGAAGTACATTTTGTTCACACCAGAGCACAAACAAGCTCGCATCATCTCAAAACGTGCTTGCTCCCTTTCGGAGACTCAGGGACTCAAGAACTCAGACCTCTGGGACTCAGGGATCAGTTCGGCATGGTGCTCAGCATGATTGTCTCACAACAAGGGACCCAGAGACTCTGGTTCAGGCCTGATGCACTAGATGCACTAGAAACAAGCCCTTGATGCCTGCAAATCAGGCTACACGGACCAGCTTCTTGGCCTCAATCTTGACAGGCCCTGTCAAATAAATCCCAGGTTTCTCTGGGTTGAAAGTGAGGCCTTGGTCGTTGTCCATCAAAACCCAGCGCTGCTTCAAAGAAACCAAGCCTTCGACATGGCTGCCATCCTTCAGGTTCCAGCCTGCCTTGGTGTCGGGTGAGGTGAGGGCAATGCTGCCCACGTCGTCCCAATCAGGCTGGGCTTTCTTGTTCGTGATCTTGCGCGGGGTCGGCTGAGGGATGAAAACACAAGGATCGCACTTCTTCACATCGAAAACACGATCCTGAGCATCGCCAGCTGAGTCCTGTGCTGCTTTTCACGGTGTTTGTTTGGGTCGAGCAAAGTTGAGGGAAAAAAGAATAGAGAAGGAACTATGCACAGTCCTTCTCAACCCTGGGCTTCAATTTGTGACAGGCAAACTCGATGCTGGTGACATCCATTTTCTTCTCTTCCATCAACTGCAAGTGTGCGCGAAGTGTCTTCAACGGCGAGATTTCCGGCTTGTTGTCTGAAAGCTTGCGAGCTCCACACATGTCCACGTCGCTGCCGAAACCAACGTCCATCATCTCCACCTTGTCGTCCTTGAGAGCCGCCTCCGCTTCCTGTTGCATCAGGGGGCTTGTCTAGACATGTGTGTGCAAAGCACAAAACTGCAGGCATGATGTGCGCATCAGACACTGCAAATGGTGTGTGCCTCATTGATCTTGAACTTGCCAAAAGTCAGGGCCAGAGGACTGGTGTCGTCCAGCTCCACCTCGCACGACGTGGTCTGGATCCAAATGGAACCCTTGGATGTGAAGAAAATCTTGTAGGTCTTCTGGTCAATCTCCACCACCGGCCCTTCCTTCTCCTTCACTTGCTCCACGGTCAGGGACTCTGGGTTCAGGGACTCTGAACTCAGGAGTCTCGCCTTCTTTTGCGGTGGCCCGCCGGCCGCCTCGTCAGCGGAACGCTTCTCACCCTGGTGCGGCTTTCCGCTCTTGTTGTAGCATTCGTTGTGATCCTTGACGAAGCGGTCCCACTGGTCTCGGAGATCAGGGTTGTTAAGCTTCTTGTCCATCTCCTCCAGGTAGGTGGCCTTGACAGGGATGGTGTCCGCTGCTCCCGGGAAGGTGGCCACAAAATCCTTCTCCTGAACGGCGGGTACTTCCCGCATGTCCTTGAAAGACACGAGTGGCTTCCAGTCCGGAATTGAGATGACCTTCTCCTGTGCGAGGTACTGCAACTTTCGGCGGATGGACGACTGTAGCCAGCGTGAGATCTTTGCGTTCTCTTTTCTCGAATCAATCGCAGCCCCCTTCTCTGTGTGTTTGTCGTCTCGACTGTTCGTGTCAGCCCACACGACACCAACATAGATTCCTTGTGGGGCGGGAACAGCTGGACTTGCAGCACGTCTCATCAATGCTTCGGCCACAGAGTGGTCGTAGGCGAACACATCCACCCAAGAAACACCTGATGGCTGTTGAAGTGTGAGACCCTGCCACAGAGCATCGTGGAACGCTCCCGGAATGTTGAATCCTGCAATCCACTGCTTGCGTCGAGACGGCTTGCTGGCAAGGTCTGCAACAACACCAGCTTGGCTGAAACCTCGGCGTGGGTCAACCATGTCTTTCTGGGCCAACATGGGAATCGGTGTCACGGAGTTCTTCACAGTCACCGGAAGCATCTGCCGTTTCCAAAGCGCCGACTTTGAAAACTCCGAGATCAAGCGGCCCTCCTTGTCGCACTGGTCAGAGAGGGCAATAAAGAACTTGTGGAAGCCCGGCCTTTTGGATTGCGCCGGGATGCTGTTCTGGTCGAAGCACATCAGGACCTCGCGAACGAGAAGTCGGTTCTCCGGCTGGGACACACACTCGGAGATCTTCTGTGTGGCCTCCCCGACATTGGCCTCGACATATTCCTTGTTTGCAGGGAGAGCAGGTTAGTAAGACAACAAGTGTGGAGAGATCATGTCAGCAAGCTACCATGCAGTTGAAGGTCGTTACCCCAGTTACCACAAGTCGGCGCCGCGATGATCATCACAGTCTTGGCCGGATCTTCCGCGACCAGCGGAGCGTAGGTTGCGACAGCAGCTTGCATACCGCTGTAGGAGTCGTAGCCAAGCACACTTGGGTTCATCCAAAAGACCTTGAACATGTTGCAATCAGGAATGCTCTGCTCATCCTGGAACTTGCGAACACAGGTTTCAGCAAATGTGATTGCGTGGGAGGCCTCCTGCAAGTCCCGAACCGGATACCGGTTTTCCTGCCACTTCTCCACGGCCTGCTTCTGGAGAGCCTTTTGCTCGTCCTGGGCTTCTGCTGCGAGACCTTTCGCACTCCGAGCGAAGTCGGATTTCTTCTCCTGGTAGCTGGACCACCCGGCCACCTCCTTGGCGACTTTGGCCATCGCTTTTGCAAGCTCTGCCTTCTGCACATCGAGGTCAGCGTCGGACTCTGAGATCTGGGAATCGGGGACTCCGGAAGCGACCTGAGAGGAATCGTGCAAGCACGGGAGCTGGCGTTTTAGGGCATGGGATGAGTGGGTGCAGAGGTCACTGGAAAAGACTGTTGTGTTTTCCTGCAAATTCCTTGCCTTCGCACCGACATCTGCCAGAAATCTGAAGTTCTCCACCTTCAGCTGTGGGTTCATGACACGGAACTTTTCGAAGAGCTCGACGTCCAGGTAGCCTCGTGCAAACTTGGTTTCGAGCTGCTGCAGCTGCATAGAGGTCAGCACCCTCTGAAACTCTGAGTGGAAGTGTGCGAAGAGAGCCGACATACCCCAAGCCGCGTCTGCTTCTTTTGGGTCTCGATAATTTGCTGCTCCTGTGGCCAAGTTGATCTTCTTCTTCAACCGCTTGGCATCTTGCAGCTTGAAGAGAAAGTACTGCACCTTCCGCCTCACGAACCAGTACCTCTTGCGATTGTCTGCCTTGAGGATTTGCACCCAAAGGTCAGACTTCATGCTGCTCTTCGGAGCCAAGAAGCAAAACAAACAGCACAGCCGGCAGTGGTTCACATGATTGATGATCGATTTCTGAAACGACAGCACAACCTGCCTTGGAAAAACGCAGTGGTCGCCAAGGCCTTGTAGGGAATGGCTGACTGTTTGGGTGCATACAGCTGCCAGTGGTAGTCGATGAGCTGCTGGGTGTCCAAGTCGAGGCTGGGATAGATGACGACTATGCTGGTCTCCAGCTCTGAAAGCTTCTTGGCGTCGTTGGTCGAGCCACCATTGAACTCGTCGATCATGAAACTTGCACATTCAGTCCATGCAAGACCTTCCTCTTTCGCTTGTGCCATGAGCAATGTCGAAACCTGAATGGGATCTGGCCTTGGTCGAGCTGCTTCTGCGAACTTGTCCTGCAGGGACCGGAACCTGTCAAACTTGCTGCTGCCTGTCGTGTGGCATGTGCAGCGAAAGTTGTACAAGGCCTGCAGCTGTGGCAGAATGTGCTTCACATCCTCGTCTGATAGGTCCTTCATCTTGTGGACTGCAAAGAGGATCGCCTTGATCGCTAAGCTCTTTGTGAAGCCGATCGAATGGCCGAGGGCGAAGTCCGGCAGAGGTTCTCCGGCAGCAGGCAGCCCTGGAGGAAGCCAGAGTTGAATCGGATTTGTCAAGCTATCATAGGGTTTTTCTAGAAAGTCAGCAGCGCACCGGATGATGTTGAGCATTTTGCTCTTGCCCTTCTGAGAATGTTCTGGCCGAAAACTTAAATGCCATGGCATGAGCACGAGCTGCTGCGTCACATCCTGTTCGACCAGTGGTACTCGATCATCGGCGCCTGTCACTCTGAAGACCCACCCGACATCCATGCCATGCAGCCTTTTCTGCACAGCCAGGAACATGTTCTTCAAGCTTTGTGTGTCTGTGCCGAAGTTTGCGATCAGGAAATCACCTCAAAACAAATTCAAAGTGTTTGCTGTGTTATCGTTTATCAACCAAGTGAAGTGACCGCATGAAAGTTACTGAGCCCAGTGCAGATCTCCACTGCATCAGTTTGTTCAGGATCGCCGGAGCCTCCGAAAAAATCGATCAGCCAAGGGATGACCTTGCCAATGACCATCTGCTGTTCCTTCGACAGCATGCTGACGCTGAGAATCAGAGTCAGGGACTCAGGGACTCCGGGACTCAGTCTCTGATGGCGACCCCGATCCGAAATGATGCGAGGAGTTGTGCAGTCACATCAATCTAAATTTCAAAGCTTCACGAGACTTGCTCTAACAAGTGGAGGCTTCGCTTCGGTGCAGATGAATCATCCTGCTTCACGCACTCTGTCAGCTGACTGAGTCTGAGATCCTGACTGAAGAGCTGCAGCTGTGCGTCCACACCTGCTGGTCTACCAGTTTGCAGTTTCTACGAAACTCGTGCTTAGCACCAAGCTTAAGAGAAAACGACAACTACTGCTATCACTCCGGATTCGGGATTCGAAGCCACTAAAGCAGGAGTGAAACCCCAAACTCTAGTCGATGGACAGACACCATTGTTTGCTCGGACTACTAGTAAAGTTACACATTTTCCGGGACTCACGAAATAGTATAGTCACGGCGGCTGTCTGTCTGGTTAGATAGTCTACAGTATGCAGCAGCCTAGGAACTATATATAGTCTATTATACGAATTAATTATTAGTAGTAAGACCTGGCAGCCTCTAAATGCTGTGAGCTAGCCAGCCTGACTGGCCTGTTTGTCTGCTAGACAGTACACAGTAAATGGCAGCCTGCTAATAGTCTTTTAGTGATTAGTAAGGGACCGGCAGCCTCTAAAAGCTGCTAATTCAAACCCATTGAAATTAAGCAGGCCCCGAAAACCCCAAAGCTCATGAGTGCAGTCTTTTCACCTCATAGTGCCTTTTCTCGGGCCTCCGGCCGGAGGGCCGGAGAAAAGGCACTATGAGGTGAAAAGACTGCACTCATGAGCTTTGGGGTTTTGGGGGCCTGCTTAATTTCAATGGATTTGAATTAGCAGCTTTTAGAGGCTGCCGGTCCCTTACTAATCACTAAAAGACTATTAGCAGGCTGCCATTTACTGTGTACTGTCTAGCAGACAAACAGTCAGGCTGGCTAGCTCACAGCTTTTAGAGGCTGCCAGGTCTTAGGACTGCACTATGAGCTTTGGGGTTTTGGGGGCGTGCTTAATTTGAATGGATTTGAATTAGCAGCTTTAGAGGCTTTCTATTACTACTATGCCTATTATTCATAATAATTAATCCTTGTACTATTCAGTAATTAGTAGGCTTTCAAGACTGGTCAGCCTTCGAACTGGGGGGCCTACTATTCGTTAGTAGCGATTCCTGCCGGAGCTGGCTACTAGTAGTAGCAGGCACACAGCAAGCAGTCTTACACTACCACTAACCTAATTGTTCCGAAAGCTAGCGCTATAAGCCCTGAAGCTTCTTAGTCCAAAGTCCAAGCACAGCCAACCGTCGAAAACACCTAACTGGATAGTTCTGCGATGCGGCTTACCTACTTCAAAAACAAAAACCCTACGTGACTCGAATAAAGTAGTAGCCTTGTTCATGTGCTTCTGCGTATTCTCGCGGCCAAGTCAAGTAGCCAGGGTGAATCTTAGCAGTCTCTAATTATGGGCACTTATATAGCTGTCCACCACTTACTACACAGTAACTTCTGGCTCCTTTTGTCTAGTTTTTCTTTGTCTGAAGCTTGTCTATGTTGCTGCTGAGTTTTTTTAATCAAGTTGCTGGGTTGCCTGCGCAGAACAAAGAGCGCAAAGTAGTTTATTAGCCGTTTAGTAGCTCTTCCTATTGCTTGAAAGATTCACACTGTGCCGCACGTGATGGTTTGCTAACTAAGTATACTAAATAGATAGACCGAACAACATCACATGCGGCCACCAGTGTGTATCTTTACTTTAGCATACATTCAACCCTCAAACCCTGAAGCCAATGTAGGAGTTCTATGTATGTTCCATACTCTGCATGCACAGCCAGAGCTTCCAGGTCCATTCTTTATGATTCAGAGAATTAAACTCATATAGCTTCCTAGCCCACACGGTTGATTTCAATAGCATGGGTACATCGCATGTCTATATATATATATGCAATATGACATGAATGACTGCACACATTATATATATATATACACACACACACACCAATTACCATGCCGTCAAGCCACACATGACTTCGGACATTGTTCATTCAGTTCAGGATCAGGCAACCATGCATGTGTCAAGGCGGAGGCCTTCTGCTGCGGCCAGCACTTGTGGCTGTGGCGTAGCGTAGTAGCCGCCATGGCTAGTCGTGCATCAATTCAATAATTAACCTTGAAACCCGAAGCCCTGAAACCCTAACCCTTAAAAAATTCCTTCCTTTGGCAGCAAACGCCTGAAGCCCTAAAGTTTGAAGCTTGAAAAACCAGTTCGAAAGTTTAGGATTTTGAACCACTGAAATTCTATCTAAACTTTGAAACCCGACAGCTACAGCAGCAGCTTCAAGTCTAAAGCTTGAAAACCCAACCAAGCCTGAGACCCAAGAAGAAGACACATGTGGCCATCAGTGTGTGTAGCTCTGATACTAGAAGTCAGCTCGATTTACGAAGTACATATACATACCTGCTTACATGTATACACATGCATACACATGCATACACATGCCTACACATGCATACACATGCATACACATACATAGATACATACATCCAGATCTTGTACTACTGTCCCATAGTCAATGCAAATATGGCTGGATTTCTGATAGCATCCCTGTTTTGATTACCGGACAATTCGATAAGTAGCTATCCATATGGGAACAATTGGGTCTTTATGTATGTGAGCGAAAGAGAAAGAAAACCACAAAGATACTGAGACCAAAGAATACGAGAATTGGCTAGTGCGAACCTAGCTTCAGGATTGGGTTTCTCAGGGTTTCAGGCTCTGGGTGGCTGGTGAATTTGCTGAGGCCTGTCAAACTTTATTGCAGCCGACGATTTCCCAAAGCTGAAGCATCATATGCTGAAGAAGCTCGCATTGACTGAAATATATTTGCCAACTCCCAGCAGCAATCGTCATGCCTCCGCCAACTTGTCGTAGGAGCTGCAGACTGAAAGGGGCAGCGCCTGGCTAAGTGATGGAATTACATAAGGTTCAACGTTCAATGGGGGTGGGAGTGTGAAGGCAATGCAAAGGCAGCATCTCTTGTTTCTTGCGCAACAAGCGATCTGTCACTGCACTCGGTCGGTGTCAACACAGAACATCCAAGCAAACAGCCCTGAGCACAGAAACCTCTCCGGTTTATGCAATGTTCGGATTCAATCTCAGGGACTCAGGACTCTGGGACTCGGAAATTCTGGGACTCGAAGAATCTCAGTGTCTCTTGGAGACTCTGAGACTCTGAGGCTGAAAATCTGTGAATCAGCTATCACCAGACTTTTCACTGCTTGTTGTTGGTTTATGTTCTGGATCTATACCCAAAGCAAGCCGCAGCTTGTCTGCAAGTGTCAACATTTCCCCCTGCTTCTCCACCAATCTTTTGGAGTACTTGGTCACCCTGCCTGCGGCAAGCTCCAGCTTGGCTGCTGTTTTCTTGGCTTCTTCGCCTACTTTCTGCATCTGAACAACTGATCGCAAGGCACTGTTCAATCTGTCATTTGCAGCTCTGATCCTCCTGCTCCTGCTCCTGGTCTGGCTCCTGAAAATCCTCCGCCGGCTCCTGCTCCTCCTGCTCCTCCTGCTCCTCCTGCTCCTCCTGCCACTGCTTCTTCGAATGGACGCGCTCCTGGTCTTGTCATCACTGTCACTTCTGCCGACACTTTGTCGCCCTTCTTCCGTTGCCTGTGCTGGTGGTGGTTCCTTGGCATCCTCGGCAGCACTGCCCAGCGGCCCAGGCTCATCGTCCTCAGAATAAATTGAAATTGACCTGAAAATCGGCTGTGACCAATCTGGAGAATTGAAACTTCGCTGTGCCCAATCTGGCCGGGCATCTTGGACGGCATTCTTCTTGTCCGGTGTGCTTTGGAGCTTCTCGGATGCACCAGACCTGCCGAATCAGTTTATATTGGGCGGGGGGGGAGTTCAGGGTGGAATTGAGAACGACGGGCCTCCGCAGTTCTGGTTTCTCTGCCACTGCTTCCGCAGCAGTGTCTTTCTTGGTTTCTTCCAGTTCGCCCGGTGGGCCCATGGTTGTGCCATCCGGAGCTGCTCCATGTGAATCTGCTGGTCCTGGTGCTACTTTCTCCCCTTCCTTCTCCCTCAAGGTCTCGGACTCGCGGTAATCAGGGGACTCACGGGACTCACACGACTCCGGGTTGTCCGCTGGACTGATGAGGTTGATGGAACCGTCGTCATTTGTGGCCCCACCTTTTTCAGGACCTGTTGGCACTGGTTTTGCCAAGTGCTGCGACTGCTCCGGAGCATTGCCATGTTGAGCATCTTCTTGTTTTACTTCCTGCTGTAGTGAAGGGGGCGAAGTTGGATAGAGATAAAAAGGATTTGGTACCTGAAATGCGAAAACAGAAGAACAGAACCATTATTAGGGTCCAGAGACAGAGAAAAACGATAGCAAACAAATGTCATGTGCAGTTGAAGTACATCTTCCGGTGCCGGGGCCTCTGGAGTCTCCGGCTCTGTCTTCGGGATGATTCTGGCCGGAACTACCTCAATCTTGTGATTTATAAATCATTCGAAAACCTTATATGATACATAGAAGAAGAAAAGATTTAGGGGTTTAAAGGGGTTTAGGATTTAAGGTTCACAGTCACCTAGCTTCTATAGGTGGCGTTTACAGAGTCTAGCCGAGATGCTGCCGGCCTTTGTTTCGGAGGAGGCTTTAGCTTTGGCGTTGCCTGTGCCAGTGCAGCCTTGCCAGGTGGAGGTCCAATTGCTCCTGGCGGCTTTGGGTGGCCTTCGGCAGCCTTCTCCATTGCCTCCCTGTCCGCTGCTCGGAAGCTGCCCACAGGTAGTGCCATTGGAATCTAAAGGCTGGACTCGGAGACTCAGGGACTCAGGGAATCTGAGTGTGAGGCAGCCATTCGCATTGATCCCAAAGTCTCAAACATGTCTGCATGTGTGCTCTCACGACTGGCTCAAGACTACAGTTACACAGAGTCGCAGACTGCAGAACCATGGCCGAGAAAACAACTGCAGCTGATGTGGTGCAACTCAAGAACAGCAGTGATGCCTGCGAGGTCTCGCTGCTGCTCTTGAGTTGCATTACATTAGGATTACGAGAACTGGACTACCCGCTGTGCTGCAGCTCAGAAACGAATCCGAGTACCTGAATGACCGAGTCCCTGAATCCCAGAGGCCTAGAGCCCTGACTGCATGGAATTTCCCCTTTGAGCTGCTCTAGGATTAAGAGGACAAGTACACCTGCTCTGGTGAAGAACGAGAGCATCTGAGACATGGTATTACCATGTCTCAAATCCTCTCGTTCGCCCAATGGAGCACTGATCCTAGTGCGAATCAAGAGCGACAGCCAGGTCTAGCCTTGCCTCGCTGTCGCTCTTGATTTGCAGTAGCTATCACCCGGCCTCAGCTGCAGCTGGCAAGGTGGCGCTGCAGCACGTCACAGCGAGGGCGACCTGTGTCAGGCATGTCATGTGCGATCGCCAATCGAGGCCTGCTGTATGTGTCATAGGGTAGGCCTCGGTTGGCGATCGCATGGAGCTGACTTTGGGGTTTAGGGTTTATAGGATTGGGGAAGACTGGAATGCAGAGTTTGTTTCTGTCTGCTCCGTGTTGCGGTCTCTGTCTGCTGCTGAGCAGTAATTGCAAGGGCGACAATTGTGGTTGGAGTTTTGGGAGCGCAGGCCTGCACTCCCCTTACACAACATCTCAAGAAGAGCAAGAAGCGTGACGAGCTCTGTGTTGTGGTCTCTGTCTGCTGCTGAGCGGTAATTGCAAGGGTGACAATTGTGGTTGGAGTTTTCGGGAGTGGAGGTTTGGAGCTTTAGAGCCCCAGCCCAAAAGGCGACCATTCTGTGTTGGAGTTTGGGGAGCGGGGAGCGACAGAGTGGTGATCTTTCGCCGCCGAAAGATCACCACGCCGTCGCTCCCCTAAACCCTAATCCCGAAGCTGAGCGGATAGTATAACCGCAATGTTCAAGGGTTACGACGTTCGTAGCTGCCTTGACCATTGCGGTTAACTCTATTGTCTGTCAAAGGGATAGATATTACCTGGTCATGGGCTTGTTGGTGCTTCAAGCTGGCTGCTACGGACTCTGTTGGAGCTCCTTCTGTACCGGGGAGATTGTGTCGAAGAGGTTGCAATGACATGGGCGATTGGCACACAACAGCTTACCAGACACAGTCGGCCTCCCATCCAAGTTGAGATTGCACGCATCCCGCGTCACCCCCCAGCTTCCCGGAGGGGGGTTCAAGCAGTCGCTGCCCCAGCTGATGCTTTAGCGTATCGCTCAGCTGTCATACACCTGGTGCTGGTGCGTTGGCCTCAAAGCAGCGACTTGCTTGACCACAATGCCAACAAAGCCTCACACCCGGCCAATGGTGTGCAGGGAACCCTACGGAAGCACCGGTTCCCCGTTGGTAAGGCTGGCAAATGCCGGCTGAGTCGCAGAGTCCCAGAGTATCAAGAGTCGCAGATGAGCAGAAAAATGCCAGAGCTGTGCAAATAGCATCCGCCTTCCCCTAACCCAAAAGCAACTACTATTCTGTTCAACACATCAGTACTTTCCAAATAAACAATGACAATCTTTAAACCTGCAACCCCGAGGAACACTTCAATGTGTACGACCATGGCCATTTATTTATGCTAAACGGAAACACCACTAAACCCGCCGAGGCCTCTTCGGATGCATCTGCTGCTCTTGGCTGCTCCTGGCAAGCACTTCAACGATTGAGGGGTTTTGCGTTTCAGGTCCAGTCACCTGGCCCCGTTTAAGAGTGTTGGGGCGATGTGGGTCTAATTCCGGTGAAGTTAATTGGTCTATTTTCGCTGTATTTACTTAAAACAGGTCTTCTGTTCCATTAGGCTTGACGACCTAGTTTTGTTTCCAAGATCCCGGCTGTCCTGAGTGCGAAGCCCACCTAAGTCTTTTACTAAGCAAATCTATCACACTCAGGTCACCGTGGATCTTGGAAAACATATGGAACTTAACTATGAAAGCCTAGCTTGCTAGAGTTTTGCTTTGGGGTTTAGAGTCTATGGGTTTCGCGCTTTTACGTAAGTCAGCACATGTTTCCATTCAAGGTTCTGAGCATAATTAAGGCCCACTGCAAACACCCTCTATCCCAAAGATCTTACTATTCGACCCTAAACGACCCTAAACCCTAAACTCTGAGCCCTATGATCAAAGCTTACCACATCCATATAGGATTTCAGGTTTTCGGGTTTAGGGCCCAAAACAACCCTAAACGACCCTAAACCCTAAACCCTGAGCCCTATGATCAAGCTTACCACATCCATATAGGATTTCAGGTTTTCGGGTTTAGGGCCCAAGACAAACCCTAAACCCTTAAAACCCAATCCACCGAGCAGCACCTTGCCGGTGGACAAGATGCGAAACTGACCTTGGCAGTGGATTCGTGGGGAGGAGTGATGCAAGCTTCAATTCAATGCGAAATGGGCGGAGCAGAATTTCAGTCGGCTTTTTTCAATGGCACGTTGTACGTGCACGTCCTGTGTAAAAGATGGCCGTAACCACTGTGCATGCCAACGTGCACCTCGGATTGTCGTGATTAGTTCGCCATAAAGCTTCAAACACAATCCCAAGCGAGGTGCAAGGAAATGGCAAGGTTCAGGTTGCAATTATCCGACAGCACCAGGACCAGAGCCCTCACGAAGCGAATCATCGAATCCCGAAGCTTTCGGCTTTATGGTAGGTTAGTTGAGACTGAAATGATCAGGACTCAGAGACTCAGAGACTCAGAAACTCGGGGACTCTGGTACTCTGGGACTCTGGTCCTGTGCTTCTCCAGAAAGTCCTGGCAGAGACTCCTGGGGCTTTGGGGCTCTGGTCCATTGGGCTGAAATGAAAAGGGCTCAGAGATTCAGAGACTCAGAGACTCAGGGACTCTGGGACTCTGTCTCTGTCTGGGCCGGAAGGCGCCGTGAGCTACTTCTCAGTCGTCGTAGTAGTACTCACGGATGAAGTCGCCGATGAAACTCGACACCGTGTCATGCTGCCAGAAGCCTGTGCAGCTGTTTGCCACCACGTACTCCCCTTTTTCGTGGTCAAAGAACTGCACATTCGAGTCCGGGCTGTGCTGGTGGAACTCGTACGTTTGGCCATCGTCCACGTAGTAGAACGTGATCTTGCCGTTGTAGGCTTCCTGCCAGACCCATCCGTGCGGACAGGTTTTGAAAGGCCTGTCGCCCTGGACAACAAATCCAGGCCTGCTGCGACGAGGCTCGAAATTCTGCCCTGCCGGTGCCTTCGTCACCAGTGACTTCTTGATCTCGGCGGGCACCAGGTCCATCGCGAAGAGCTGCAGCACGTTCGGCGGTCGCCGCCCTCCCCGGCAGTACATGTTGTCCGGGTAGTCGCGCAGCTCCAGGAACAAGGCCTTCTTGACACCGGCCTCCTCGCAGTAGATGCCGGAGTGGTACTTGAACTTAATCGCAATGCCCTGCAGGCTCGGCGCCTCCATTGGAAACACACCCAGTACCTGGAACTCCTGCATTCCAGGGACATCGGCCTTGCGGATCCAATCGACGGTCATCTCGCTGCGGGGCCTCTTGGTCCTGAGTCATTTTGCATACAACCAGACCGATTTTAAATTTTTATAGAAATTTTTCCCACTTTTCGAAGCCAAGGTTCATGGCATAGATGAACTGACCCTTGGCTTGCATGTAGAAAGTCGTGGTGGGCGAGCAGTCAAAGAAGAAGGACTCTTCGGAGTTCGGGGGGGCGCCGACAAGATGCTCGTAGGGCCCACGTGCCATGTAATCCGAGTGGTCAATCTTGAGCGAGCAGTACGTCGGAAGCACATCCTCCATGATACGGCCTTCATCGGGGAAATGCTGGGCCAGCAGTGACTTGTTCAGGGCCGCGGGGCTGCGATCCGGGATCCTCATCTGTGAAGGGAGGACCAATCCTCGCACTTTCCAGAGGCCAGCCTGCATGAACATGCCTTTGACTCCCTCCATGATGTCGAAGGCGTGCCGGAAGAACGGGTACCTGGGTCAGAACAGGACATGTGCAACAACAACCGCCTAGAACTTACAGGTTTGCTTTCATCAGCTTGATATCTCAGGCATGTTGCGTGTTGTACGAGCCGCCCGGAATCCTGGCCATCAGGAACGGCGGGTTGTTCTCGCCGTAGATGTGGTAGTACAGCTCGTGCCCGTTCATCCTGGCCCAGCCGAGCAGCGGCCCATGGGGAACGACACCTTTGTACAGCTGGCGGCACCACACCTCGAGCACCGAGAGATCGTACTGGGACTCGGCACTCAGACTCAGCATCGACCCATCGTTGTGCATCGCCACATACTGGTCCCGAAGGTCGATCAGCTTGGTCTTCAAACCACTCTCCAGTGTACAAGTCGGCCACAGTGTCGCTGGGTCGTAGTTGCTGATGGCTGCAGAGTAAAAGATCTTCACATAGCCGAGGTCCTTCACGGGGTCGCCGTGCGGGTCCCAGCCAGGAAGGGTGCCGCCGCTCTGCAGGATGTGCTCCACTTGGCTTGTCGGCATGGATGTGATGTCCTGCTCCGACTCACCAACCTGGTCGAGCCGTGGCTGGGCTGCCACTGTTGGTGTAGCAGATCGTGTCGCCGACATTGCAGAAGCCCTTCTCGACTGTATCTGCAGCAAGCCCTCATAGGGCCGTAGACTCTCGAGGTTCGCAGGCTCTGAGTCTGGGACTCCGAAGTCGTCGGGGACTCTGGAGTCGGGGACTCTGGGCTCAGAGAGGGTGGGATTCGGACACCCGCACAAACTCAGAGTCTACCTCGGAACCTTCCTCCACGATCGGCGCATCGTCCTCCACTTTGGCTTTCGTCGCCCCCGGCTCTGCCACTGGCGAGTCTGGCCCAGGCTTTGTCACTGGCGAGTCTGCGCTGCTCGTCGCCGGCCCCACCGGTGGGTCCGAAACAATGATTGTCTCTGGGACTCCGGTGTCTGTCTTCGGGGTCGGTGTCTGTGTACTCGGGCCACTGCGCAAATTCAGGACGGTCAGGATGGAGATGGCGAAAGTGCCAGTCTGTGTCGTGAACTTGACGACAGGGAACGGCTGATCGGGCATCATCGTTGCCTCGGTGAGTGAAATCAGTTCGTTGTTCTCGGTGGTGACCACGGCAAACTTGACATCCCCACCTGAGGGCACATGACACTGACTCAAGGGAAACATCATGAATTAAAACCCTCAACCCAAAACTGTAGTAGACACTCGTACACTTTGATCCCAGTCCTGCCTGCGACATCCACCGGCAGCTGTACTGAGCTAGGCTCGCAAGACTTATCCTTCAGGACAGACATCGCGATCCAATCGCCGTTCAGCTGCGCTGCCAGCACGACCTCGGCACGCTGGAAGCATGCGACGGTCCCTCCGCTGGTCACCTGCATGAAGAATTGCGAGTTCACTGCCCCCATCGCGGAAGTCAGGAGTCTGGGACTCCGGGACTCGGCGCGGACAAAGAGCCAGGAGTCTGGGACTCCGGGACTCAGACTCGGGGACTCAGTTCCAAGCCCAAAGCTGCATTCGGCGTGTGATTGTGTCTTGTGCTCATGATGCTTGTGTCTCAAACTCACTCTCTAACAGTTGCTCTGCATGACTGTCGCAAAAAAAAACCCTAAAGCCCAAACCTAAACCCTAAACCCCTAAACCCCTAGACCCTAAACCCTAACCCTAAACCCCTAAACCCCAAAAAACCCTAAAGCCCAAACCCCAAGACCAAAAACCGAAACCTTGCACGGACTTAGGCCCTGACGTTCGAGAAGGACTTCGCGAAGCATAGACTGACCTGGCATTTCTTATTAGGGTTTAGGGTTTAGGGCATAGGGCTCTAGGGCTAAACCTTACACCCTAAACCCTAGAAGTTTAGGGGTTTAGGGTGTAGGGTTTAGTTTTAAAGTGACCCTTTTCAAAGATTCACACCGACCACATGTGATGCTATCCATGTCCAGTCTATAGTTATGCTAATCTTAGCAGGACACGGATGGCATCACATGTGGTCGGTGTGCATCTTCGAAACTGATATAAACTATCTATTACCATACATAGCTCTTAAAAACCCGACCCTAATTCTAAACCCTAAACCCTAAACCCTAAAACCCGTTTCAAAGATTCACACCGCCCACATGTGATGCTATCCATGTCTAGTCTACAGTAATGCTAGTCTTAGCAGGACATGGATGGCATCACATGTGGCAACAGTTGTGCATCTTTGAAACTGATACAAACTATTAGAATATATAGTACCATAGTAATAATAGCTGTTAAGAAAAGCCCAAGCCTAAACCACAACCCCAAAAAGCCCTAAACACACAAAAGACTGGCTTAGGGTTTGGTATTACCTGAAGCGCAAACCCAAAATGCTGATAGGTTTCACAAAGCTGGGATTAGTTTCTAAGCTGCATCATTGATTGGTGGTAAGGATTATGAAACAGAGCCTGGGGTTCCACTGACCTGGCATTTCTTATTGGGGTTTAGGGTTTAGGGCATAGGGCTCTAGGGCTAAACCTTACACGCTAAACCCTAGGGGTTTAGGGGTTTAGGGTGTAGGGTTTAGTTTTAAAGTGACCCTTTTCAAAGATTCACACCGACCACATGTGATGCTATCCATGTCCAGTCTATTGTTATGCTAATCTTAGCAGGACACGGATGGCATCACATGTGGTCGGTGTGCATCTTCGAAACTGATATAAACTATCTATTCTCGAGGTAGTCAGGCTTGTCATTGTGTGTTGTCTACCCAGTTCATATTTAATTTGCTTGTTGATATTGTTCTCAAAGCCTGACTACCCAAGACCCCACACCCTAAACAACCCAACCCGAAGAACTCCCTCCTTAATCCTCCCGAACCCTTTATGTGGCAGGTGTCCTGCCTGGCCTGCCTGGTGTGGGCCCAGACCTGAGTGGCCACATGCAATCATGCTGCACATTGCTCTCAAGACATGTGTTTGAGACATGATCATCAGCTGGCTCTGAAGGCGCTTACAACTGACGAAGATCTTATCCAGCACGACACAACTAATTGACAACAGCAAAGTCATGATCGTCAGTCACACGACAAGCATGCACAACCATTCGCATGTTTGTGACACTCAGAATTCCAACATTTCTAGACTTTTCTTCTAGCTCTCTGATTCACACATGGCCAGTCTGTGAGACTTTCAGAGTCGCAGAGTCACAGATTCTCAGAGTCCCAGACTCTCAGAGTCACAGATGTTCACGCCTCCACCACCTCCGCCTCCGGCTACTACTCCTCCAGATCCCAAGCCGGGGCCCCCACTGGGCCCTCCACCGGGCCCCCCACCGGGTCCCCCACCGGATCCCCCACCAAAGACCTCACCGGGTCCTGCTGAAGCAACACCCAAGTGGATGCCGACGCCACCGCCACCGGCAGCCAAGGTGAAGGTGTCATCTACACCAAGAGATGGATCCTATCTTCGGCGGCAAGAAAAATTCAGAAGAGAGGAGCAGCTCGCGGAAGAGCTTGCAACCGAAAAGAAGCTGCACGAGCAGAGACTGCAGGAAACAAAGGAGCATTATGAGGAGAAGTTGGACGAAGCCAAGAAACAATACGATCTGGCGGTGAAGAACCTGCAGCTTCAGGCAAAAGTGGATGCATCTGAAGCGGAGAAACGCTATGACCAAAGGCTGGCAACCGCAGTCAGTAACTTGAGAGAGCAGATCAGTGTGGAGAAGAAAGCAAAGGAGACGGAGCAGAAGAAATGTGCGGACCTCGAGGCCTGCAACAAGAGGTATGTGGATGCAAACGGAAAGTTCGCAACGGAGCACCAGAACTGGATCCAGCGTGGTCAAAATGCAGAAGCTGGAGAAAAGGAAGCCAAACGCCAGGCGACTGTGGCCAAAAAGCAACTGGAGGCGCTGCAAGTGATAAACACTCTATCTAGAAGCCCATTAAGC